GAATCAATACTAAGCTTGAACCCATGTGTAGATTTGAAGAGGAGAAAAGACTTCTGTTTACAGAGAGAGGAAGAAATGAAAAATTTGCACTGGACCTAGAAAACCAAGAAGTGGGGAACAAAGTCGTGTAGCAAACAGATGGAAAGCATAAGGGAAGCAGAAAAATAGGCAGAAGAGAAAGTGACTGTGAGAGCAAAGAGGAATAGAAAACCAGTGTCACAATGAAAACATAGTAAAATTAATTGACAGTGGGATTCACTGCAGACAGCAAACTTGAGAAACTGAGAAAGACAGTATGTGTGTGGTGAGCATATGCTTTGTAACAGTCCCAGCAATTTAACCCCCATTTCAGTATGGCTTTATGCACGTGCATGAGTTCTTCAAATCTGGCAAGGATTTAATCAGATGCCTATATCCCTGAGAAATCTAGAGGGCTTTAAACATAGATGCTGTGATGAATTTGGAGGGCTTAGATAACATTGATTTAAGGGTGCAAATATTGAGGTTTTTCTAACAAAATCCCTTTTTTAGCTAGATGTTGATTGAAACCTTATGAGCAGAAGGACACATTGAATACCACTGATATGCATGTCTCTCCTGTCCTGCAAGAAGACATTTTGTTGGGCTTGGAGAAATGAAGAGAGTTGATGTACCTAAACTAAAATGTGTTAACAGCACACGTGGGAGATAAAGAGTCAACTGATCTTATTTTCTTGTATTTTAAAGATCACATCAAGTATATAGATCTGGTTGGCATCATTTGCACTTACTGTATGGCAGGAAGATTATATCAGCTTGACCTCCTTCCTGTGCTTATGTGAGGCTGTTCATGGCATGAAGGATATGAGAAACTCCTGCTTGTAGCATCCCTGCATACTGTTGTTAAACTTCCAAGTAGGGTCTTGATGAGAATGTGGGTCCTAGTTAAGTGTTGAATGTGGGGTGTAACCACAGATGCTCATCAGAAATATAAAGTAGCATTACCCAAGATTATTAAAGAGAAAACAGCAGTAGGAAAACTGCATGACATAAAACACAAGGGAGTTGTGTAAGAAAGGAAAATGTGGTTCCATGTTACAAATTATTAAAGAGAAAACAGCAGTAGGAAAACTGCATGACATAAAACACAAGAGAGTTGGGTAAGTGAAAGGAAAATGTGGTTCCATGTTACAATGTGAGACTGACTTCTTCATAGCATCTAAATTTCAGCTCACAATTCAGTTATTTACAGCCTTGAAAGCAAAACAAAGGTCTGAGTTAAACTATAGAAATAACTCCTTATTAAGGAATACTTCTGCTTCTGAAGCTAAAGTACTGAACTATAGAAATAACTCCTTATTAAGGAATACTTCTGCTTCTGAAGCATGCTAAAGTACTATGTGATGACACAAGTGGCAACTCTCCACTAGAACTGGGACACAAAAATCTGAGAGTGCATAGAAAGACATGGAAGTTGTCAGCACATGGACAAGTCCTGAGTACTACAGCAGGAGCTTCTCTGTAATATTGTTGTCCCAGCCCTGGACAGAGGCTCTGGCTGAACCCACAGTGCTGATGCCAACAATGGATCTGCTTGCTAAATTTCAAGTATGTGAAGCACCTTTCACCAGTGCTTAAAGAACCATCTGGATATATATATACACCTAAGGAGGCAGGGTGCCTGGAGTTACAGTTCAACACTTAAGTATTGATTTGCTTTCTCCAAGTTGTAAAGTCATATTTGTGTGTCCTCCTTTGCCAGAGACTTGGTCCTAAAGAAACACAGGATTGCTTTTTCCTTGACAGTCAGGTGATTATGGACAGTCCCAAGCTAAGGTTCTCTCCGTGGTTCCCTTATATGAACCACCTGGGCCAGCTAACAAAGGCAGGATCCCAGTCTTTTCTCACCAATGCCTTTCCTCTCAGTTAAATTTTCATGGCTTATGGGAGATTTTGGGGTCCTTTTTAAGGAAACATCGTTGGCTTTTCTTTGATATTACCTCTTGACCTTGCAGACGGGACAGAGGGGTCAATACTGGGATGCCAGTGGTATCAGTCAGAAAAGTCAGACTTGAAGAGGCTCCTGGGGCTGGCTGGGTACCTGCCATGAACAATCACCTTCTACTCACCCAGAGCTTCCCAGCTCTTCCACGCTGGAACAGTCTTTATGGCCAACTAACAGGGCCTCAGCTTCCAGCAACCATGCCATGCTGCTGCTTTTTCTGCTCCTTTTAGGGGGTGCCATAGAAAATTAATCCAAACATACTTCTCCTTCAACTCTCAGGAGTATCAATATTTTCTTCTCAGATGAGCTGCTTTCATGGATCTCCTGTGAGACACTTCCCTAATTCAAAGCTTTTTGGCTGTTTCTCAGTTCAAGATACTAATTGTGCTTGAGATGAAAAACAAGCACATTTGGCAGTGCTAAATGAAACTAACATTAGTATGTGCTTCTACTGAGACATTTTGGCGTGGGACATACACAAAAGTTAAATTATCACAATGATAAACACAGCAATAAGAAAGATTTGTTTCTCGTGTTTGTCTTAAAGGCAAGCGCTATTTAATATTTTCTTCCTCTACACTTTGTTTTGACAATGTTTCTCAAATACCTTTAATTTTCAAAACATAATTCTTTCAGCAATCCTAGACCTAGTCTGGAAAACATTTTGTTCTGATTATACTGGAAACAGAACATCTGAAGTATCACCAAACCACTCACTGTGAAAGCATCACTCAGAAAACCATGTGTGTCTTACTCTTTTTTTTTTGAGACTATTAATGGAAGGCTTCACTGAATTTATATATGGTTGTTCCTCTTGCAGAAAGAGATAGGAATAATGTAAGATTTAAAAAATAAACGCAAATTTCTCTAAAGTCACCCTATGCAGAAAACATTGGCTTCTTTTTTGCTCCCCAACACTGTGTCACTGTACCTTCATACACAGCATGGATGTCTTAAATCAGATGAAAGTCCCAGTACTGGACATTGTTCCAGTAACAACTCCCATGTGAATGGCTCAAATGTACTCAAACAGACCTTCCTGGTGAGAGGTAACTGGAGCTGAATTCTGCAGCACACCTTTTCCCTTTGAGACATCCTACACAGAGTTACCTGACACATTTCTTAAAAAACCCTCAGCAAAATAAGTGATTTGGAATTCTGTTCTGAAAGTTTAGTACTCAAGAACAACTTTGAGGCTGCCCTGTGATTACCAGACTGATTAAAAATGCTAATCAGAAGCTTGTATGATTAGGAGATTAGTACTGTCTGAACTTTGATCTGCCTCATTTGTGTACACAGGAAAGGGAGAGACACACACCATCACACTGAGAACTGCTTTCATGGGTAGCAGATTTCTCCTCTGTAAGGAATTCACAAAGGCACTCCTCACTGTTTTGGTTCTTGCTCTTGCTTTCAGTGGTTTCTTGCTTTCAGTGGTTCTTGCTTTCAGGGAAGGCCACAGGATTTGTACAGTCACTAACTGTTAACTTTAAAACAAACAACTTCATAATAGCCAAAAAAAAGGAAAAAGCTCTGTGTCAAAACAGGCAATATTATAACTGCATTCCTGTTACTAACCATGTGCTTTTGTTTGATCCATGTGATGTTCATAGGATCTGACAGAATTAATGAAAATCCATCACATGTGAACACAGGATCTGTAACAATGGTAAACAACACATTGAGACAAATATGGAATATTTGTGAATGACAGCCTCAACTCCAGACACAACTCCATACACAAATTTACCTCAGTTGTTGCAAACTTGTCATTGCATGTCTTAATATCAGTACCTCTTCAGATCAGGGGTGCCATGGCTTTGAAAATATCTTCAGTGTAAAGAGTAAATAAGTAAATCAACACAGTAAACATAAAAATCACAAGCAACTTTCATCAGTTGTGGGAAGAGACACAGCCATTAGAACAGCCTCTTTGAAGCCCTTATAAGTGAAGAATGGTCAGACATTGGAACAAGCTGCCCTGGGAAGTGGTGGAACCACCAATCCTGAAGTGTTCAAAAGATGTGTAGATGTGGCACTTGGCTACATGGTTTAGTGGTGAATATGTCATTGCTGGTTAATGGTTAGAACTGATGATCTTACAGGCCTTTTACAACCTTAATGATTCTATTAATCTAAGCAGATTATAAATTTATTTTACTGAAAACCAAAGAAATCGCTGCCGTCTCATCCAGTGTCACCATCCTTCTATTGCTAGATAAAATCTTCACACAGAAAACTACAGCCTTGTCAGCACTGCAACTCTCATTAAACACACAAAAAGGGGATGGCAAACTAATATTTGCATTGTCACTTTGAGTGGATGGCAAGGCTTTAATAATCCCAGAAAAGAGGTGATGGAAAGCCAAGTGAAGAATTAGCTCCCATCTATTACAACAGCTGACAGGATATAAAGTGGCATCTCTACTGACATGGCCAACCAACACCATCACTGGAGCTTAAAGATCTTCAATGAAAAAAACAAGTCCACTGTAAATAAAGGTGCCAATCTAAAGACCTTCTGTTGCCTTTATCCAACTTCTATTGCCTCTGTGTCTAATTAGCCTGTAAATTCTTTTGGTCAGGGATAGCTTTCACTGTTCTGGGTTCAACTTTGAGATTTCCTATCTGGCCATGGAGAGAAATCAAGAGACATAACCTGATTTGCAATCTTCTTCATTACCTTTTTGTGTAGTAGGCAAGAGCTCTCACAGTTACTGTTTCTCTCTCAGCAGCTATAAAGGGAATGAAACAGAGGAGACTGGAGCATATCTCAGTGCCATTCTTCTGACATGTTTTCCTGCTTTAACGTAAATCAGAAAGTCAAAAGCCCACCAGAGCCTAGCTGCCCATGGAGCTTGGACAGTTAAGAAACACAAGCTTCTGTAGCTACACGCATGTAGAGAAGCAACAGTGCCAACACCACTGCTCCTTTTTGGCTCTCCAGCTTGAGTAATGCATTTTGCACTTGAGACAATTGGCAGTCTTCAGCACGAATCCAGAGCAATTTCACACGCAGTGTGTACCAGAGCATCCTGAGCATTGTTCTTCTGCATCTTACTATAGTGGATAGAAATCACAAGCAAAACTAGAAAACACACTTGAACAATGGGAAAACAGAGAATTTGTGACATTTTATTTGTGATTATTTGTTTATGTGGGTATTTGTATTGGAATTATGAAACCATGACAAACAATGCCAGATATGTGTTGAATGTTCTGAAGAATATACACAATGATCCAGTGGGAACCACCTGAAAGGCTTCTGTCGTATACCAAATGCTGTATCAAAAGGAAGATCAGTTGAGTTAATCCCGTTTTGTCTACATTCTCATGCGTTTCTGGGAGGAATACAGAACCGATGCGAGCGCTGTAGGAGGAAGTTCCCACGACTCGTTGGCTAACAGTAACCACTTAATTAATGTAAACATAAAAATTTAGTTAAAAAAAAAAAAAGAAATCTCAGTGGCACAGCCTAGAACTAACCACCATTCCACAAAATGGGTCATTAATTTCTCATCCTAAACGCCCGGCAGTGAAACCGCGCAGAAGCGCCATTCTCCCCATGGAAGCCCATTTAAAACGCATCTCCTGAGACAGGTGGAAGAGCCCCGAGCCACCGGCGCTCCTCGCGGCCCCGGGCGCTGCTCGCGTCCCAGCGCGCTGCAGCCCCTCAGGCGCCCCGGCCCCGGCCCCGCTCCGTGCCTCTGCGCGGCGGCACCTACCGCTGCCCGCTGCCCTCCGCGCAGGACGCCGAGGGCGACGCCGAGAGCCGGGCATTCCGTGTATAGGGGAGAGGATTAATTTCGCCACTTAATTCCTTCCCCCCGGCCCGGCGGTGGGGGAGGGCACATGCGCGTTGCCATGGGTGCCGGAGGAGCACCCAGAAAGTTGCGGGAGAGGGGCGGGGAGAAGGGGCCGAGCCGCCCGCCGGGGTTGAGAGCCCGCCCGGCGCCGCGCTGAGAGCCCGCCGGCAGCTGCTGTCACCGCGGGGCTGAGTCGCCCACCTGCCGCCTACGGCTGGCGCGGGGGAGGGAGAGAGGAAGGGGATAAACTTCAAACTTGGCCGGGCGGGCAGGGAGCCGCATGGATGTGTCCGTCCCTCGGCGCTGACTCGCAGCCCGCGGCGCGCTGTGAGGCGGCCGCTGCCCGAGGAGCGCGGGGCGCCGCCGCGCCTCTTCCTCCGCCGCCGGCCATGGGGCGCGGGGCTCAGCCCGGCCCCTGAGCGCGACGCCTCCCCCCGCTCCGGGCTGCCGCCGCCTCCCCTCCCGCCGCCACCTGCCTCTCGCTCCGCTGCGCCGCTGCCGACCTGAGGCCCTGGGCATCGGCTTCTCTTCGCGCTGCAGCCCGACCGAAATGGAGCCGTCCGCGGGAAGCCGCCGGGAGTGATCCCCGCTTTCCCACCGACCCCACTGGCCGCCCCCTCGGCGCCCGCGCTCGCTCCGATGGAGCTGGAGGAGACGCCGCTCGCCCCTCAGAAGACCATGCTGCTTATGCTGAGGAAAGTTCGCAAGAGGCGGGAGATGCTGCTGCAGCAGCTGGGCTTCATCTGCGCCATCCTCTTCTTCGCCTGGTGCATGTCCAGCCTGCTCTCCAGAGCGGGTGAGTGGCAGCGGCGGCGGGACCGGCGGACCCCGGCAGGGCCGGGGCGGCCCGGGGGCTGCAGCCGCCCGGGGGCTGCCGAGGTTTGGGGGGGTCAGGCGGCGGTGGCTGTTCCCGTTTGGGGTCTCCCAGTGGAAGTGCCCCTGAGTGCGGGCAGCGCGGGTTCCTCGGGAGAAAGCCCCGCGCCGGGCGGATGCGCGGCCGCAGCCCGGGCAGAGGGGGAAGCTGCCCGGGCAGAGGGGAAAGCTGCCCGGGCAGAGGGGAAAGCTGCCGGGGCAGAGGGGAAGCTGCCCGGGCAGAGGGGAAGCTGCCCGGGCAGAGGGGAAGCTGCGCCGCTGGCGCCTGCTGGTCCGGGGCTCCCCGGCGCAGAGCCAGCTGCGCCCCTCGGGTCGGGAGCCGACAGGGCATCGGCATCGCGGGGCAGCTCTGTGCCTGCGAACGGCCCCGAAGGAGTTTCCCCCCTGCCGCTGCATCAGAGTGGAGTTCTCTCCAGCCGCCTCCTGTGGTCCCCTCTGCAACTTCGGGCTGCCTTTCGTTTTGTCTTCAGGTTGTAAACCTCCATCAGCTATAGCTGCTTCTTTTCTCAATCTCACACGCGCCCCCAACACCTCTCCCCCCGTTACAGTGTAGATTTGACAGAAAATTCTGAATTTTAGGCTAGGAACGGTGCTAATCTTACGTTTTATAGAGAGAGTATTGTAACAGAGTCTTTTGCATCATTTGTGCATGTGCTGCATTGGTAAACTGATGCATTTATAATTAACCATTTCATTCCCGTGTGTTCCTCTGCCTGCTGGCACGGTTTGGGCTGTCAGTGTGCAGCTTGAGGCCCTCATCCTGCAGTATGCTTCACATCCCTCAAATACAGAATCTAAGGTTGCTGGGACAGCCCTTGGGTCTCTAGGTAGGGCTGCCAACAGTCCTCGAAGATTTAAGAATGAAATTGACTAAGCCCATCACTAAGCATCTACATTTGATGTAAGAAACTCACATTTCAGCACAGTTAGGATGGGTCATCTGCTTAAATTAAAGCTGAAGTTCAAGTGTGTGCTTTAGGGAAGAAAAATCTGCTGGAACTTGTCATAGTTTGTAATGCTCTTGTGCACAAATTATTGCCTGGCTTGTTTGAGCTGTATCTAGGATGGCAACAAGCCATCCATATAAGAATTCAGTGTCTTAGACCATATTAGCATATTGCTCATCTTAAAACTTTCAACTTGGAAACAAGTAATGGGGATATGAATATGTTTGCATAGCTTGAGGGATTTTTTTTGTTGCAGTTGTTGTTCTCCATAACTTTTTTAGGTTTTCATGAAAAATGTCATGACTAATGAAAGTTTTTAATCTCCTTGGTTATCAACTAAATCCTTCATAACCTAATTTTTGATAGTATGCTGCATCAGGTAGGGTTTTTTTTAGCTGGCTAATTTACAGTACATATTATCCATAAACACTGACCATCTGTTGTCTATATTTCTTACAATTGTGGCTCAGAATATTTTACTCTGGAAAAACTACCAAACAAAATTTCTTTTTTCCAGCCAGAAGTCACTAAGAGAACAGGCATTACATGACGACAGTATAAACTCTAAAATTGGCCAAGGAAGAATTTTTGTTATTACAATATGTTCATTTGAAATGGGTAAGATTGAGGTGGAAGTGGTTTAATTAAGGGGCTCTATTATTTTTTTATTATTATAATTGCATACGGCACATGATCTCACAAGTGCTCCTGTACTCTATTTAACAGGTTTCATTGAGAATGCTTCTGGAATATGCATTTTAGCAAAAGCTCTGTTGACTTCTAAAAAAGTTTATTTTTTTAAGACTTAACAAGAATTCACTGTGATTTCCATATTCTTAGATGAGTTATGGATGGTTTGATATTATTAAGCACACCCAAGACTGAAAAGTTCAGAATAAAATGTAACTGGAACATATCCATATGCATTTTTAATTTTTCATGAAAGCAGTAATGTAATATGTGCAAGTACAGATGACTAAATGGAAGTGTGATTTTTGCTCATGTCAGCATAGCTGGGCTGGTTTCATCTATAGGAGCTGCAAGTGTTGACTTTCACAGGTACAGGCTTCAGCATTTGCTTGCTGCAGAATATTTTCCTGCTGTGGGTCACAGCCAAGTGTTCCAGTAGCTCTGATAGCCAGAACATGCCAACAGCTCGGATGTGGTGCCTAGTTGCACCCTTTGGAGCTAGGAGAACATAGGACATGTCTGTTGGCGTGTGCTCCAGTCACACCTTGGATTTTGCCCCGTTTGCATTCTGATGCTCTGTCTGTGCTCCTTGTTAGTGGGCACGTGTAGTCCAGCTGGGATGATGCAGGAAAAAACTGGTGCTAGTGGGCATAATATCTTTTTATTTAATATAGGCCAAGAATCAGCGGTTGCAGACAGAAGCATTGTATCAGGAATATGGAGGAATAGAAGGTTGATGGCATCACCTAATGGGACACATGAAGAGAAGAACTGTACAGAGCCAGGTAAGATGTGAAAACTTTGTAATGTCCTGTAAGCTCTTGAGATGTATTGCGTAGTTTTGTCATGACCAAACTGCAGTGATATGTAAACATCAGTGTTAAACTTAAAAAAACCCAACAAATCAGGACTGTTCTGTGTAGAAATGAGGTTTATTGTGTTACATAATGGCATGATTTTTATGTATCAAAGGCAAAAGGTAATGTTCAGATAAAGGCATGTTTAGGGTCATTGTGAGACTAATGCCGACAATTCAATTTCTGTAGCTTTGTTCCTTCAGTGATTATTCATTTCTGCCCAGCTGATGTGTGTATATTGCACAAGTCATGAGAGGTATGCTCATCTTAAAACCATGGGTAGCTAAATATGCAGTGTTTTAGATGACATCTGAGCTCAGTGATTTATGTTCTTTACCATTACACAGTTAATCATGGTTTGCTAGTTTAGTGATAAACTGTGTATTCAGAGTAGGAATTTATGTTGTGTGGAGGGGGTTGATGAGGTAAGTGGCATGGAAACCCTGGAATCCATTTTACTTCAGGATGTCTATCTTGGCCAAGCAAAAAGAATTGATTGAGGGCAGGAATAGATGATGCATTTTAGTATCAGTGTTAGTCCACAATGCTTTCATCTTCCCATCTGGCTTTCCAGTGTGTATTTCCTTTCTCTCTCTCCTTGCCTCTCTGTGGTTTATGGTGTGTGGGAGATGAGACATTTTGCCAATGGCACTAGCCAAGTTAATTTGAAGTTCAGATTTTTTTTGTTTGATGTGACTCTTTGATAAACCCTGGGGTAGCAATGGAGTGTGTGCCTTCTTGCCAACAGTGTCAGCATGAGTTTTGAGATGCTGTCAGCCCCAGGCACTAGGAGAGTTTGGAGCAGTGTTCCTGCCCTCACTTACATGTTTGTTGTGATACTGGGGTGCCAGTTGTATAGATTGAGGATTACTAGTGTGCTTATACACTCCTGAGAGAGGAATGGAAGAACATAGCTCAAAGTATGTGCATCCAAAAGTTTTAACTGTATCCTCTTGATGTCCAAGAGCTTCCCCATGCTTTTGTTAAGAACTTTGTGGGTCAGTTTGCTGTGTTCTGCATCTGTACCATTATGATGCTCTTGATTTGTCTGTCAAAGTTGTTAACAATCAAGAAAGAATACAAAAAGGACCTTTTGGAAACACATAATGATTCTTGATGAATAGTCAGAAAATACCGTTCTTTCCCACTTCTCTTTCATTTTCCTCTGTATACATGGATGCATCAATGTGGTCTTGTCTGAGCACATACTTGTCAGCACACTTGGAGTCAAGGCAATGAATGCCACAAAATTATAGAAGCTAGATCAGAAAGATACCTGTCAAAGTTCTTGTGGAGACTTCCATTTAGCATGAATGAGAACTTTTCACAATTATATGAAAAAATGACCAAGGCAAAAACATGCTTGCATGTGAATCGGAATTCCAGAAATAATACTGACTTCTCCACATTGTTTAAAACAAATAGTTCAGCTTCCTCCATTCTTCTCAAGTCATAAGATTAGTTTAAGAACAATTGGAATAGATAAATACAGCTGGGTCATTTTGATGTGCTTTCTGAAATTCAAGTCTCTGAGGTGCACTTTTCCCTGTAACCACAAGAGATGGACACAAGGGAGGCCCAAATATGCATCAGGATGCTGCAGTTTAAGAAAAATATCACAAGACTTGCATTAAATTCATAATTTCTAGTCACAGTAATGGTAGTAGCCTTTCTTTTAAAAAGTGTTTCTTCAGTTAGAACACAGATTTACAGATCAAATTTGTCACAGGATTGCAGTTGTAGCATTTTTAATCACTTCCTGTTATTCTGCAGTTATGTACTGCTTATCACTGTGTATCTTCTGCAGCTGAAGGGGGAATTGAGATGCTGTAGGAGTGACTAGATCTAAGCTGCAAATAAAGGGAACATCTGAAAATAGCTGAAGTTCGTGTTTGTGGGACAGGAGTGGGTCCGTAAGAGCCCATTATTGTTATTGCTCAGTCACAACTTCTGTAGATTTGGGGTAGTGTTCTTTGTTGGCTTTGTCTTTTGTTGTTTTGTTTTTTAATGTATGGAGTGTTGACTTGCTATTTTTCTATTTATTATTTTAATTCTTGTCTGGTAGCCAGGGACTGAGATTTGTCATGTAACAAGAAGATAGCAATGATGGAACAGCCATCAGAAAGGAGCAAGTAATACAGCTCATCACTGTGGGAATGTAGCTTGTGTAATCACATGACTGCAGAGAGGGAAGACCCAGGAAAGGTCAAGAGACTTGGCAGAGATTGGATAGAAGATTGGTGAGAGTGTGGATTTTCAGTTGGAATACGAACACATGGTTCCCTGTGGGCTCCTCTATGAGATGTACTTGCTCTCACCTGTGTAATTTCTGTGTCTGCTCTAGGCATGAAGGGCTGTACAAATGCATGGCTGTGTGTATGGTATATAGCAGTTTTCTTTTGTTGTGTGGATGTTTTTATGTGTGTGTTTAGGATACAAGAATTTCATAGTACCTTGAAAAATGCAGGTTCTTGCTGAGAGCCTGTTAATCCCTTGTGTTATTGCTGTGGTCCCTTTTCCTTAGCTTCCCACACAAGTCTTCAGCTTTACCTCCCTTTTTCCAAAGGCTTTCAATGGAGTTAATATATTTACCACTTCACTTGATTTTCTTACGTGTAAGTGAAAAAAATAAAAATACTAATTGTTAGAAATGGCAGCTATAGAAGTTTATAAGACCATGAGATCCCTGCACTTCATGACACTGGCAAAAAAGGCTCACCCTTTGTAATGTACATTGGGATAAAACTCTGTAAGCTTCTAGAAATAATGTTAGAAGTGTGTGAGAGCTGCTATCTTCTAGAAGCTCACATAGTCTACACTGTTTTAGATCAGTCTCATTTGCTGAAGTAGATAATTTTGTATTGTGTTCTTCTGCAAACATTGATAATGTTTCTGGGGCATTGTATCAGAAGAGGAAAAGTGCTAAAGTCTCAATAATGCTGCTTTAAAAAAGAACCAGAGGAGTCTGAAAGAGGACAAGAAAATACATGTATGTGTGTGTATGTAACTAGAGAAGACAAGTTGGGGTTTTTGTGTCAGAGGAATGATAATCATGATAATGAACATCTTAAGAGGTGCTCCACATTTTTTCTGATGGTAATATTCTGCAATTATGAAGAATTATAGATTGTCTCTATCCCATAGCAGCAAAGGACCTGTAGGTCAGCTGCAGGAAGGAGGTAGAGCCTTGGGAGCACCAAGCCAGCCTTGGTTCTAGTCTGGACTGAGACCAAATCCTCACCACAGTTAACACGTTCTGTAGCATTTTTCTATTGAAAAATCATTCCTGGCTTTAAACTTCCCCATTGTTGAAAGCTTCTCTGCTTTATATTGTCCTGGAGGCTAGAGGGCTTATAGATTGTATTTAGAAGGCTCTGGACTTCAGAAATTACATGAGAGCCTGGGATTTTTGAATTATGAATCGTCTACTTACTTGGTATTGAGCCATCTCTGGATAGCTTCCTCTTGGAAAGAAACCAAGCTACCTTTTCTTCATGGCTCTGGGTAGATTTCTGTGGGAGGAGGAGTTGACCTGACCCTCACTTAAAGCAGAGAGATCAGAAAAGGGGGTAGTTGTCTCTAGCATCTTAACATACCTCATTAGTTTGCAACCAATTTTTTTGCCGTATCCAAGCTCTCACTTCCATCTGCCATCAGCTTGCTAGCTTGCAGTGCCATCTGCCCAGAAAGTCTGATTTGTAGCTTCTCTGCTCCAGTGGCTTGCGTCTTGTTTCAAAATGTTCCCATGACTCCATGTCCTCCAGACCTCCAGGTAACGTTTCCAGGGCACATACAAGGTGGGGTGACTGGGTGTCATGATGTTTCTTACCACATGCCTCCACTGGGGCATGTCAGGCTGCTAAAAAACTGATCCAGACTTTTTGCTGTTGTGAATATTTTCAAGTAATCCCTGTATATGGGTAGACTTTTTTTTCCCCCTGTGAATTAGAAATGGGAATATATTTCCATTGTCTTCTGACCCTAGTTAGGGAGTGGCCTTGAAACAGAAAGGCAGTGGGGTTTTCTTGTCTGTGGTTTGTCAGCCATGGACAGTTCATGGGCTACACTGATTTTAAATAGGTGGAGATTTGGTTCAAGTGTGCTCCTCCTATTGCTGTTAGTAGGTAAATATGAATTTTCTACATTTTGGCCATAAAAATCCCCTACAAGCTGGGACAGTGTGGCTGGATAGTGTAGAAGCAGAAAGAGAGCTGAGGGTGCTGGTCCTCCGGGACAGCCTGTTGAATATGAGCCAGCAATGTGCCTTGGTGGCCAAGAAGGCCAATGGCATCCTGGCCTGCATTAGGAATTGTGTGGCCAGCAGGAGCAGGGAGGTAGTTCTTCCCCTGTACTCGGTGCTGGTGAGACCACATCTTGAGTGTTGTGTTCAGTTCTGGGGCCCTCAGTCTGGGAAGGACGTTGAGATGCTTGAGCGCGTCCAGAGGAGGGCAACAAGGCTTGGAACACAAGCCCTGTGAGGAACGTTTAAAGGACCTGGGGTTGTTTAGCCTGGAGAAGAGGAGGCTTAGAAGTGACCTTATTGCTCTCTACAACTTCTTGAAGGGAGGCTGTAGACAGGTGGGGTCAATCTCTTCCACTGGGCAGCAGCTGACAGAACCAGAGGACACAGTCTCAAGCTACATCAGGGAAGGTATAGGTTGGATATTAGGAAAACATTTTTCACCGAAAGAATAATAAAGTACTGGAATGCTCTTCCCAGAGAGGTGGTAGAATCACCATCTCTGGATGTGTTTAAAAAAAGGCTGGTCATGGCACTTGGTGCTATAGTCTAGATTCTGAGTTCAGGTGTTAGGACATAGGTTGGACTCGATGATCTTAGAGGTCACTTCCAACCTCATTATTCTGTGATTCTGTGGTTCTGTGAATTGTGGACTTGAGGGAAGACATTTCTTCCTGAGCTATGCTGC